CGCCGGTGCCCCGGCTCGGTGGAGCGCACGGAGAGCTGTCTGCGGCGTGGGGGAGCCCTGCCTGGCAAGGAGCAGCCTTCACTGCATTTGTCTCAGTGACAAGAAAAAACAGCGATAAAAGCGTCTAATGGGATTTCTGAGTGATGGAAGTAGCCTTGTGTTGCAGCATCCTTAGTACCCGTGACCAAGGTTAACACTCCTATTAGCTCTAATGATTTGCATGTAATTGTAGCATGGTCTGCCTCAGAATACCAGGGGCATGTAAATGCCTTCGAGGTGTGCTTTTAGTAAGGCCCAGAACATCTTGGCAGTGTCTTCCTGCTCGCTCTTGTTTCTGTGCTTGTGGTGTTTTACTGGTGCTTTCAGGTGTCCATTCTGCAGCACACGTTTTTCTTTTCCGTCTTTTCAGACAGTTACTTAGGCCTTCTAAAACTGGCTTTCTTGAGAACAGAATAGGGAAACGTGCTCTCTTCATCATCGGCTTCATCCAAGATACCATCTGGTTATTAGATAACAGTATTTTTTGTATGCTTATTTGCATAGCAGAGTAACTGCAGTACTCTTCCGGATTCAGGGTAAACCGAACACGAGAGAGAGAAATGTGCTAGGAATTTGCTAGTTTTACATGCTTGCTGCTTTTCTTCTCTCACACATGCTTGAGTTCAGGTGTTATCTTTGCTCATTTCAGGACTGCCTCTGAATCACGGTCCAGAAAGAAGAAACAATTGAGTTGATTTAAGTTGAACGTTTGTCTCTACGGACGAGGCCATGCCAGTGCTGTCAGAAGACTCAGGTAACTGATCTGCATGCTTTCAACAGGCCAGTGACTGAAATCTTGTGTATGTGTTTAGCACACGAAATGAATTGAAATTGGAGTTAATGAAAATAGAATTAAGGTAGTTTAACTAGACATTTTAGTAACTACCTAAAAGAAGACAAGGAAGGTGGAGTATAAAAGTTGGAGATGAGTAAAGCTAGTCACATTTCAGGAAGTGCCTAGTTTTGTAAGAACTCTCTGGAGCCTCTGAATATATGCAAGTAGTCAGGCTCCTATGGGCAACCTTGGATCTCTTAGTATAACACTGGCTTCTACACCTGCTTATTAAAGATCAGCCCTTACATCTCGGCTGCTTGCTGTGCCACTTGTTCATGTTTTCTGAATAGGTTTTTAAGCTTTGTTAATATTCTTCCTTTTGACTTTAAAAAACCGGGATTCAGTTTAGGGCTTGCTAGCCAGCTTCTCCTGTGTGCTACCCAGGGTGAAATGCCTTTGAGTCTCTTGGATCCAGGTGCACTCTAAAATTCATGGAGAGAATAGCTAAAGCAGCAGATTTTAGCTGCTTCCCCACCCCCTGCAAACTGAGTGGTCACTAAGCTGGTAGTGTTAAGTCTGCAATAGAAGGTCCTGTGAGCCATGCTAGCTAAAAAGCTTCTGTTATGTCCTCAATTTAAATTTAGGACTGCATGAAACTTTGGCCCTTTTGACATCTCAGCTTAGACCAGATTCAAATCATAAAGAAGAAATGGGATTCCTTAGGGATGTCTTCAGTGAAAAGAGTCTCAACTACCTGATGAAGGTAAGTGTTCATTTGTGAACGTATATGTTCCTTACAGGTTACTTATTCTCTGTTCCCTTGATTGATTGACTCTCTACTATGCTAAAGCTCTTTAGCTTTTTAGGAATTCTATACTGACCAAAGCATGCAAAAGCACAAACATTAAAAACATTCACTAACAATTAACATATCTTCATTAGAAAAAAAAAACCATTTCTGCCTGGATTGCCAAAATACAGATACAGTGCCCTGTATCTAAAAAGCAGTGTGAAATGACTTCATTTTTATCTTTACATTGCTGAAGTCTGAACAGATTTTCTGGCTGGCTGTGAAACTTAACGTGAGCAAAAAGAAAACTAAAGGACTCCTAAACAAACCAAAAATAACCTCAAGAGAGGGGGTTCTGACCCTTAGCTCAGAAAAATTCTATTCCTTAAGTATAAAAATGTTCCAGTGTAGGTATATTTAGGAAGTTTTGTATCTCTCTGTAGTAATACACCCGAATAATCTTTTCCAGATTCATGAAAAACTCCGTCATTACGAAAGGCAGAGTCCAACTCCTGTTTTACATAGTGCAGCAGGATTAGTCGAAGATGTGAGTAAAAGTGTTTGTCTCCTTATTTTCCTATTACCTAAGCCAGCTTTTCTAACAAATCAAAGCTTTGGATTGTGCTACATGGGTATGTATTTCTTATCTTCCTGAACAGTCTTCAGAATCTGTTGGCTAGTTTCACTCATGATTGATCAAGGAAATAAGAGCTTAAAAATATCATGCCGTTAAATGTCCAGTGAAGACAGACAAAGAACAGGAGAGTGTTATTAATGGCCTTCATATAAGGGAGAGGCTGAAAAAAGCATTCAGTCCTTTCCTGACAATAGACTATCCCAGCTAAGCATTCAGTCTTAAACCCTTTCAGACTTAAACCCATTACCCAAGCAGCAATGCTGTTCACCTAGAATGGTTTGGATTGGAAGGGACCTTGAAAAATGATGTAGTCTAACCATGGGCAGGGCCGCTGTTCACTAGATCGTGTTGCTCAAAGCCCTGTGGAACCTGACTTTGAACATGTCCAGTGGTGGCGCATCCACAACTTCTCTGGATCCAGCATCTCACCACCCTCATGGTTTTGATCGGTGCATGCTGCTTGGAAGGATGATAGAAGTTAGCAACACCAGAAACACTTGCGAATATATGATCTCAGTTGATGGACTCTTTTAATTTTGAGGTTAATTTTTATTTTAAAGGTAATAGAAGAATTGCAGACTGCACCAGTGAATCATGAAGAAAAAGAGCTGCTTCAGTTGTTGTCAACACCACATCTCAGGGTAAAAACACACCAGAGACCTGAACGAAATTCTTTTGCAGAATTCTGATCGAACGTTTTCTCTTGGAGAAGTGACACTGCAGAGTCCCTAAGAGAAAGGAAAAACCTCCTACAGGCTGTAGATCTATTCCAGTGGGACTTGCAGAGGCTTTAGGATGCAAAGGGGATTGAGAAGACACAGGGTAGGCCTTTCATGCATAACGCACCATGTTGTCTTCCCTCCCCTCCTTAGTATTTCTGAGGGAAAAGCAAAGGATACCATTTCTCACCTCCGTTCTGGGAGCCTATTTAGGTTGAGTTGTTATTGCCCAGATTTACTTCAAATATCAACATACACCACAATCTAGTTCACATGATGGGTAAGAGAATTGCTACATCTTTTTTTTTTCTGTTTGCATTTATGGTGAGGGTGGGAATTGGGAAGTTTGCTGTGATGTTGGGAACAGGAGAACTGGAAACTGTGCTATGACCCCATTACATTACTGTTTCTTGTTTCCTTTACACAGGCAATGCTTGTAGTACACGACACTGTAGCACAGAAGAACTTTGACCCTGTTCTTCCACCTCTACCCGATAACTTTGATGATGATTTTGATGAGGAATCAGTGAAAATTGTTCGGCTAGTGAAAAATCAAGAACCCCTGGTATATGCAATATAACCTACCTCTAGTCATAGCGCTCTGTCGTGCAAAAGTGTTGTTGTGAGTATGGAAGAGATCCTTGAAGATTATGTCAAACAGCTTGTTTTATTTCAGGGAGCTACCATCAGAAGAGATGAGCACACAGGAGCTGTGATTGTCGCCAGGATCATGCGAGGTGGTGCAGCTGATCGTAGCGGTAAATTTCTGAACAAAAGGGGATTTAAAATTGCATTTGTAAAGATTTTTAACATTTCCAAACTTAGGCATGCACACACGTACCACATACACGTACCTGGAATGATAATCTCTTACTAAATCTGATGGTTATTCATTCCAAAACCAGCCTTCTGGATGTGAGTGTTTAATGTATGTGTATAGACTATGTTGTAAAAACGCGGATAACGGCCTATCAAAGTCGTAATAGGCAACTGTTGGCTGTTGGGTCTGAACTGATGTGCAGGCTCTCTGTGTTAATGGAGGAACATGGACGTTGCTGGAGAACAAATTATCCCAACAAGCTTTAGGATGAGATAGTTCACTGCTGAAATTGCCTTTCTTCCTTATTGGCTCTAAAGGGAGCCTCGATGGGCTTACTTGACAACTGAATTTCTGGTGCGTGGTGGCAGGAGAGACTCGGGTGCATAGCTGCCATTCAGTGTGCTCTCAGGAGCCACAGGCTTAATTCATACAGTATTTAACCTTCTGGTTTCTAGAAGGTGTTCCATCCCTGGCAGTGTTCAGGGCCAGGTTGGACAGAGCCTTGGGTGACATGGTCTAGGGTGAGGTGTCCCTGCCCATGGCAGGGGGGTTGGAACTGGATGATCTTAAGGTCCTTTCCAACCCAAACCACTCTGTGATTCTGTGATTCTATGATTTTATTAAAAAAGCTGAATTGGCCTTACATAAGGTTTATAGACTGTAAGCCTCATGCACTGTTTTTAACATCCAAGTAGTGCAATCCCAAAATTAATGAATTGATGTCATTAAAAAGTATTAGCTAATTACAGCTTTCTTCTTGATCATTATCATTCTTCAGATTAGTGTAATGGGAAATGATTGGAGCATGCACTTGGAGCATCTCTGAATTTCATCAGTAATCAATTTAATTAGATATGTTTTTCTCTAGAATAGCTGCTAGGAAGAAATACCAACAGAGATGGGAGAAGTAGGACCAAACTTTAGAAGAAAGAAAACGATGGGGTGTTACCTTTAATCTAGTGTCTTGGTTCATTCAGTGTATCATGTCTTGTTTTCTATTTGCTTTGCTGAGTAATTGTTCTGTCAGTTACCAGTATTATATAACACAAGTACAACTTTTCTTACTGAACTGGATCAACAAACCTAAACCTTGGAAAGGCCTTTTCATGACTTGTTAAACAGTAAGAGTCCAACACTCATTCTGGTCCCGTGTCCTGTTGATGTGTCAGTGAGATTCTTGCCTCTCTAGTCAGTGTGTCTCCCAATTCCATAAGATTTGATCATCCTCATGGAAGTTATTCCAGTTCTGTGCTCTTAGTGCTGATCCAAATATAGATTTGCAATGATTTTTCCAGAATCTTGCCACATATTCTCTGTGGTCTCCTATGAGACTGCTACATGAAAACAAAGTGCCATGTGGAATAAGGGCGGGAGACTTCAGAGCACATTGCACAAGGTACTTGGCTCTAATAGGAAATCCATTAAGCTGGGGAGGGGAGCTGAGGACGTACATGCTGTTGACTTAGGTTGGACATCAAAGGAGTGGTGCTTTCTATTCTGTAGACTTGTTTTAATTTACCTACCATCTTTTCAGGTCTTGTCCATGTTGGAGATGAACTAAGAGAAGTCAATGGTATCACTGTGCTTCACAAACGACCGGAAGAAATAAGTCAGATTTTGGTCTGCACTGATTTTCATTTCAAAATCTTTTGGTTGGGTGCTCTGGTAATTACAACAGAGAATGGAATTTAAGCAAGAGCTTAAAATATGTATAGAGCTAAAAGATGCAATCCCTGCTTGTCTTTTGTGTTGAGTTGGTCTTTTCCCAGTGGATTAGTCTTTTCCTTTTGACTTCAGAAACTTCTGCAAACTGAATTGGTTCCAAGTAAGATACAAATATAGTTACATGTTTCTTTGTCAAGAAATTCCCTTTCATGCTTTATGAGAAGCAAACTGCAAATTAAAAGTGCATTGCTGGAAGATAAACAGTTTATTCATAATGTGGTATGTTGGGAAGCTGAAGAAAGTCTCAGCTCTGTGCCAGTGGAGCTGTCAGGCTGGTCTTTACCAGCAGTTTCCTGGTGACATTAGCAAACTTTTGCTTCAAGCTTCTCTAACATGAATGGCCCCAAATCTTGGTAGAAAGTGTCCTTGCTCTTAAGCTTATTTGTCTCCAACTCCCCTCTTGTGGCTTGGTTCCCCTTGTCTTGGTGTCGAGTGGAGTTAGGGACACAGTGAGAATAGCAGCATTAGGAGACTGAAGTATGAAGATTCCATCACCTAATTTAAAGTTAGACCAGAATAATGCTGAATAAGGAGAATGACTGCTTTAACTTTGGGGGAGAGGATCAAAATTGTGTTTTGAAATACTGTGTAGTTTTATTTGTGGGACCCTGGGAAGCTATTCATCTGTCCCATTTTAAAGACCTGCAATGTAATAGTTTGCTTTTCATGGTTTGTTTTTTTGGGGAAGAGCTACAAATGTTTGTCCAAGCTGTTGTCCAGGGTTTTTAGCCACTGCAGAATAGCAGACTTACATGGGACACAGCTCATCTTACCCAAAATAAGGCATCTGAAGTAGGTCAGATAAACCTGTTCTAGATTTCCAAAACATTGAGAAGGGCTTTTGAATTTACTAGAACTAGTAATTGAAATTTATTAGCAAAGATTCTTAGAGTGAAGGTAGATGTTCACTTTGTACAAGTTTCCATTTCACTGTAACCAGTCAGCCACTATGTGGGAAGATCCAGCAGCCCTTTTCAAAGGCTTTAAATGGTCAGTCTGCAGAAAGGAACTTAGTGTTGTACTGAAAGCCACAGAAGTATTTCATGCCCAGTGAACTGTAATCCAGAAATTAGTGCAGTTGCTAAAAGCAAATGAAGGGATTCTAATGTGGGTCTGAATGTGTTCTAGCCACGTAGTTGCTGTGGATGTCTCCGTGTGAAGGATTTATGGAACATCATAATAGTCTCTGTAATGAAGTAGTGGATTACGTTGGCCTGTCTAATTTCTGACAAGACAGATGCTAGCTCCTAAACTGGAACTTGAATAGTCTGATTTGTGTCCTATACTGCTATCAAAGTAAAAAATACCCATTTCCCTCTTTTTCAGGCTCAATCTCAGGGATCAATAACATTAAAAATAATTCCAGCCATCAAAGAAGAAGATCGTCTAAAAGACAGCAAGGTACCCAGCTTACTGAAATACTGAAGCATGCCTTTTCGTATGTACACCCTTCTGGCATCTCTGTAAA